AGATTTTATCAATAGCTTTATCAATTTCCGGGTATTTTTTACGTAAGCACATATAAATTCCTTATTAATTACTTGACATTTATTTATTAATTACTTTATTAATTACTTTATTAATTAAAAAAGTTTAAACGTAATATTTTTTCGGAAAAATAAAAGAAATAACATTTTTTTATTATATTTATTTTATATGCGTTAAATTAAAGTTTTAAACTTATAATCGAGTAATATTTAAAAATGGAATTAATTTTTATTTAATATAATATTTATTAAAATTATTTTTTATATAAATTTTATTAATAAATTTAGTATTTTTGGTAATTTATATTAATTTTTAATAAATAATTATATTATATTAACCGGATTATATAAAGTAAATTAATTTAAATTTAATAACATATATTTATTAATATTTAAATTATATAAATCAAATTTTATAAATATTATAAAAGTATTTAATAAATTTAAAATATTAAATAAAATAATAATATTAAATATTAAAAGTAAATATATTATAATTTATGTGTTTATTTTATATTATATAAAAAATATACTTTAATAAGTTAAAAATAATAAATTTAAAAACTTTTACAGGATTAAATTTTACTGTTATTATTTTATTATATTAATAAAGAATTTTTAATAATTTAACATTATATTAAATTTTAATGTTATTATATATAATAAATATTATTACCAGTTTAAACGTATATAAAAAACTATAGTTAATATATATAAAAATAAAGTTATAAAAGTTATATATGGTTTATAATAAAGAATAATTAATTTAACGTTATTATTTAAAACTATTTTTCCGGTTTTTAATTTAATATTTTTACGTTTATTTAATATAATTTATTTAAAATATACCGGATTAATTAATTTAATATATAATTTTATTTATAATAATATATTAACTTTTTTAACAATAAATAAATATATATTTAAATTACGAATATGGTTATTTTTATTTAATAAATAACAATTATAATTATTAAAATATTATTTGGTTAATTATAATATATTATCCCATATTATTTAATTTATTATTATTTTTTCTTTTTTTTATAACTAGTTTAAATCTTATTATATAAAAATTAATTTTTATAAAAAAACTTTTTAAAATTATAAATCAATTAATATTATTATTTAAATTTATATAATAATTGTTAAAAGTAACAGTTTTTTAATAAAATTTAAATTATTAAATATTAATTAAATTAATATTTTATAAAATATTAAAAAAATTAAAAAATTATTTAACTAATTTTATATATATATATTTAAATTTTTAAATTTATAAATAAAGTTTATTATATTTGTTTAAAAGTAAAATAATTAAAAGATTATTGGAAATAATATAATTACTTTAAGTTATTTATTATAATATTTTAACAATATATTTAAATTAAATATTTATATTATATTTTATTTTATAAATTTTATAAAAAAATATAATTTAATAATAAATTATAATATATTAATTAAAGAAAATTTATATCGGTAAGTTTATTTTATTTCATTTTTTTTTACATAATATAAAATTATATCTTTTATATATCTTTATTTTATAAAATTATTTAAATAATTATTAATATATATTTAAAATATATTATAATAAAATTAAGTTAATATTTAATATTTTTAAATTTTATAAACGTTAAGTTTAAAAAATAAATAAATATAATATCGAAAAAGTTTTTTTTAAAAAATAAAATATATAAATAATTATATATTTTATTTTTTAAAACGTTTATAATAAAAAAAACCTTAATATAATAGTTTAATTATAAAAGTTTTATATATAATATTTTACTTTATTTAAATAAATATTTTCTTACGTTAATTAAAACAAATTAATTAATATAATTAATATTAATATTAATATTAATAATATAAAAAAAGTTTTTATAATATTTAAAAATAATATATACGTTTAAACCATAATAATTAACCGCATTAACAAAAAAAAGTTTATATAAATTATATATTTCATTTAAAGTAATAATTTATTACTTATAAAAAACTATTAAATATTTTTTTTATTTATATTTAAATTTCGCATAATATATTATTATAATTATAATTATTTCATTTCGTATTTTACAAAATATAAAAATAATAATAAAATTATATAGTTTTATAAATTTAAGTTTAATAATAAATAAGTATTTATAATTTTTTTATTATTATTAAATATTTTTTTATATAAGATTTAATTAATAACTTATTTATTTTAATATAATATATAAAGTAATTAAAGTATAATATATTTTTAATAAAAATAATTATATTTAATATAATAGTAAAAACTATTTTAATTATATCGATTAAATTTTTACATTTGATATTTATAATAATATTTACATTTTTACAATAATTACGTTATTATAATAAATAAAAAAACGTCATAAATTATTAAAATTAAAAATATTACGTAAAATGGAAAACAAGTTAATTATTATTAAATTATTTAAACCATATTTGGTTAATGTTATTAATATTAACGTTATTAATATAAATTAAAACGTTTATTAATTATAAATAAAGTAAATACTTTTTATTTTTTAAATTAAATTAATTATAAAATATTAATAAATATTTTTATAAAATATTTAAAATAAATGCGTTTATTTATAACAAAATTTATTTTAATTAATAATTATTATAAAATTATAATATAAATATAACTTTTTTAAGAAAATTTAATGTTATATGGTATATATTAAAGGTTTAAATTTTGTTAATTGTATATAAATAACTTAATATTTTTAATAATTTTATTTTAAAAAAAAAATATTATTTATAAATTAATAACTTTTTATATTTTAAAAAATACATATTTTATTAATATTATAACAAATATTTTATAATTTAATAAATAAATATTTATACAATTATATATAAAATTTAATTAATATATTAAATTTTAAATGTTTAAAAAATGTTAAAATTTTAACAGTAAAATAAAATTTTACTTTATTTTAAATTAATATTATTATAATATATTAATTAATTATAAAGTTATAAAGAAAATTAAAAAAGCATATTATATTTTAAAAATGTTATAAAATAAAATTTTATTTTATTTTAAATTAATATTATTACAACATATTAATTAATTATAAAGTTATAAAAAAAATTAAAAAAATATATTATATTTTAAAAACGTTACAAAATAAAATTATTTTATTTTAAACTAATATCATTATAACGTATTAATTAATTATAAGGTTATAAAGAAAATTAAAAAAATATATTATATTTTAAAAACGTTATAAAATTTTATTTTATTTTATTTTAAATTAATATTATTATAATATATTAATTAATTATAAAGTTATAAAGAAAATTAAAAAGATATATTATATTTTAAAAATATTATAAAGTAAAGTTTTATTTTATTTTAAACTAATATTATTATAACGTATTAATTAATTATAAAGTTATAAAAAAGGTTAAAAAAATATATTATATTTTAAAAACGTTATAAAATAAAATTTTATTTTATTTTAAATTAATATTATTATAATATATTAATTAATATTATTATAATATATTAATTAATTATAAAGTTATAAAAAAAGTTAAAAAAAATATATTATATTTTAAAATATACCAAATAATATTAAATATTATTTTAAGTTTAAACTTATTATTAAAACGTATTAAATAATTAATTAATTATAAAATTATAATTAAAACAAAATAAAAATGTTATTATAAAAAGCTAAAAAGTAAATTATTTAATTTATTTAAAATATTAAACAAATATTTACCTTTTATATTAAAATTAATTATATAATTTTAATAATATTTAAAATATTATATAATTATATGTTATAAAATAAAATTTATATATATTAATAATTTTAAATAAAAAAATGGTTTTAATATGTAAAATAATATTGTTATATAAAATAATATTAATATATAAAATAATAATAATAAAAAAAATAATTGCAAATAATATAATTATATGGTTAATTTTAATGTTATTATTAAATAAAATGGTTTTAATATATAAAATGGTTTTAATATATAAAATAGTTTTAATATGTAAAATGGTTTATAATATGGAATGGTTTTAATATGTAAAATAATTTATAATATAAAATGGTTTTAATATGTAAAACGGGGAAAGCTGATTTTGTTGTTTTTATTAAGTGGAATAGTATTATTAGATAAAATAGTTTTAGGTTTATAGAATGGTTCTCCGTACCCCTAAACTTCCGCTATGGTAGGCTTGAATGTTTTATTATTATTAAGATTGAGTTAGGACAGGCGTTTTGGTCAACTCCGTTGCCTCGGGGGTCGAAAAGAAGAGGCGTCTGACACCAACTACGCATGTGTTTATAAGACCAAGGGCGTAAACTCGGATAGGAGTTTTTCATCGACCGTGACACACGGATTGAGAGGCAGGGGCCTAGTATGTAGTATATTGGGTGCTGTTTAAACCAATTCCCCATCCAAGAATATGGGGGATGATGCCCCCCCTTATACCCGCCTGCTATCGGACGGCTTCCCCACGAGTTAGCCCTATTGTCTCCTGACAGAATTTTCCAAGCTACGTTTTTGAATGAGAATGGTGAGTACTTTGCTACTGAATGGGTTCAGTCTACTTACAATATACACTGATCGTTCCATCAGATTAACTTCCAGATGCAAGATAAGTACCTAGGTATTGTCGAGTCTTTGAAACAGCAGGTCTTCATTTATCGGACCAATTGTCTTCGATGGCTCTGAAGAAAGCCTAACCAATTACCATGGCAAATTCGAGGGGCTGTGTCTTACGCGATTAGCCATGTAATAAGCTACGAGGCTTTCCGAGCTCCTCATGGAAGAATACAACGCTCACTAACTCGAATTCACCGTCATCTTTTCTATAAGCATATAATCACTATTCATACTAATTTTACTCCTAGACCTGAATCAAGTATATTGACATCGGTATCAAGATCAATTTTATATTACAGACGCATGTGAGAGGGCAGCTGCCTTGCCGCCATCATGATCCGGCTCATCCATTGCGGTGAATGGAAGTTCCACGAGTTTGATCTTTGCAATTTGCCTAGTTATGCCATTTTATCACACAGGTGGTTCAATGATGCAGGTGGGAATCCAGAAGAGGTGACTTATCATGATTTTCTGGCGCGGTTAAACAACATTAAACAAGGCAAAGCACGGAGCTGGGCAAAAGTCGAGAAGGCTAGGGATATCGCCTGGGGGCTCAATATCAGATGGATATGGATCGACAACTGCTGCATCAATAAAAAGGATGCACCAGAACTCTCGGAAGCAATCAGCTCTATGTATCAATGGTACGCACAGTCACAGGTCTGCATTGCGTACTTGAACGATATGGATAGGTCCGAACTTGGTCCTTCATGGTTTTTCAGAGGGTGGACGCTGCAAGAGCTAATTGCCCCATCCCAAGTCCTATTTTACAATAAGAGTTGGCGATACTGTGGGAGCCGGAATGGGTATAGAATTGAAGACGCATACGATATAGCCACAGATCTTAGTAGCACAATCTCTAAGATTTCAGGGATTGAGAGGGATCTTCTGAAACTAAACGACAATCATCGAATTAAACGCTGCTTACTTTCTATTCCAGCTTGTCAGAAGATGTCATGGGCGGCTAAGAGGGAAACAGCCAAAAAAGAAGATATGGCATACTGTCTAATAGGGATATTCGGTATTAATCATATGTACCCGAAGTACGGAGAAGGGGGGAATGCATTCATCCGGCTTCAAGAAGAGATCGTCAAGCAAACCAGTGATCTGACCCTGTTCGCTTGGGTAGTAAAGGACCTTAATAAGTGCGACCCTGACAACCTCTTGACGTACGACGATATCAATGGCAGTGATGATATTGAGCATGACGATCGTGTCTTCAAATTCCATCAGGCCCTCCATGGGATCTTCGCCTGTCACCCACGCGAATTTTCATCAGCTAATAACGTCAAACCTATACAACACGTCATGTATAATGATGAAATTACAGTTACCAGTAAAGGCCTCAAATTCACTACCGCTCTGTGGGGGACGGGACCAGATTCTCTATTTGCTATGCCTTTTTATTGTTACGATCAAACTCCTTCCTGCCCACTGGGGATCCATATGAGATGGGTCGGGGGCGACATTTATGCCAGAACAAATGTCACAAACACGATTTATCTGCCAACGGAACAAGCTCCTCCTCCGAGCCAGGACGACATTTTTGCTACGCATAAAATATACTACTTTTAAGACTGCCTCCGTGTCCTCCATAGAAATTCTATACGCATTCCTAAATTTATTTACAGCGAAAATGGGATAATAAAAGCTAGATAACTGGAAAGGACTAAAGTATTGCCGGGTTTTTTTTGGTATAAAAAACGTGATTTTTTAATAACACACGGAGCTAAATTCCTTTTAACTTATATAACATATTAAATAATTTAACAATAAAGTAAAACAGTTAATTTAATTTTAAAACTCGACCATTATTAAAAAAAACCTTTAATATATATTATACGTAAAATAAATATTAAAAATAATAATAAAATTATTATATAATAACCGTATAATAATAAAAATTTATTAACGTTTAACTTTTTATTTTTTTATAAAAATATAAAACGCTTTTTTATATATTTATTTTATATAAATTTATATTTAATTTATATTAATTTTACTTATACTTTAATAAAATTACTTTTTTTTACAATATTTTTATTTTTAAAAATAATAATTAATTAAAAAATTATTATAATATATATACGTTTTTATAATATTTTTTAATATTATTTTTTATAATTTTTATAAATTTTTCGTAAATTTTATTATTATTATATAATTTTTTTATTTTATATATAAATAATAAAAATAATAATAATATATATAAACATTATTTTTTTAATTTTTTTTTATTTTTTTTACCTTTTTATTTTTTTTTTTAATTTTTTAATTTTTTTTTAATATATTAATTTTTTTAATTATATTTAATTTACTTTTTATTAAAACTTATTATATAATATATTAATAATATTATTATACTTTTATATAATAATGTTTTAATTAACTTTTTACCGTTTTATATATTAAAATTAATAATAAATTATTTTTTTATAATTATTAAAAGTTTTTTAATTATATTAATTTATAATATAAATATGTTTTAAAAATATTAACATTATTTTAACATATATAAAAATTACCAATTAATTTATAACAATATTTATATTATTAAACATTTTTATTATATTTTTAAACAATACTTTAATTTTCGTTTTATATATTATTTTTTATTTTTCATAATTTTTTATTAACTTTTTTTATTAAAATAAAATTATTACTACGTAAAAAAAAATAATAAAATTTTTATAACAAATTAAAAACTATTAAAATATGAATAAAAAATATATTATAAAATACCAGCGTAAAAAAATTAAAAACTGTAAAAACCGATTATTAATTATTTATAAAAACCTTTATTAACAAATTATTAATATAATTATTACTTTTTAAAAAATTTATAATAATATAATATATTACATATAATTTTAATATATTATAAATTTCGGTTTTTTTTTACTTTTAAAATTTTTATTAATTTTATTTTTTAAAATTTTAATTTTAATATTAAAAAGTTTAAATTTAAATTTAATATTAAAGGTTTTTTTTAAACATTTATTATAATAAAAATTTTAAAAATCTTTTTTATTACTTTAATTACTTTTTTACATTACCGCATTTAACTTTAAATTTAAAATTATCGTATTAAAAAATTTATTAAAAGTTTTATTCGTTATTTTATAATTTACATTATAAATTATTTTTTTAATTAACTTTTTAACTTTTTTATAAATTTTTTTAATAATAATAATATTATTAATATAAATATTTTAATTATTATTACTTTTATTAAAAATATTATAAATAATATTATTTTTAATAAAAATACGTTAATAATAAATTAATCGCATTATTACAAAATTATTATTACGCATTTATTACATAAATTTTACTTATAATTAACTTTTAATTTTTTTAAAACATTATATATTTTTTTTTATAAATTATTATTATTAATATATTTATTTTTATTATTTTTTTTATATTTTAATATTATTTTAATTATAAATTTATTATTGTTAATAAATATTACCCGTTATTTTATAAATTTTTTATCAAATTTTTTATTATATAATTTTAAATTATTAACATTAAACATATTATATATTTTATATTATAATAATAATTTTAATTTATATATTATTTTATAATATTTAATAATTTTTTTAATTTTAAAAAGTTTTAAATATTTATTTATAAATTTATTAATTAAATAATATAAATTAAAAATAAATTTTAAAATAAAGGTTTAAATTAATTTAAAAAAACAGTTATTTACCGTATATATGTGTGGTTTTTTATACAAAACGAAAAAATTTACATTAAAATTAACCACTTTAATAATTAATTAAAAATTATCCATAACATTAATTAAAAACTTTATTAATATAATAAAACTTTTTATTAAATCACTTTTAATTTATATTTTTTATAAAAATTAATATTAATTATTTTTTTATAAATATATATTTTTTTTTATTTTTATTATATTATTTTATATAAATTTTATTAAAAATTTAAAATAAAATTACAATTATTTTTTTAATTTATTAAATTTTATTTATTATTTTTATTTTTTTAATTATATTATATTTAAAATATAATATTATAAAATTTATAAAATTTTAAAAATTATATTTATTATATAAATAAATTAAATAAATTAATATATTATATATTTATTTTATTAAAATTAATTTTTTTATTTAATTATTTTATTTAAAATTATAAAAAATTTATAAATAATATTTTAAATTTTAGTTTTAATATTTTATTTATTTATTTATTTATAAATAAAACGTTATATTTAACTGGTATTTTATTATAAAACAATAATATAAAATTAATTAAAATTTATTTATAAATAAAAACCTTTTATTTAATATAATATTTTTTAATAAATTTATTTATAAAAATATATATTTAAAAAATATATTAATTAATTTAAACGTTATAAATTTTTTTATTATTAAAATATATAAAATATATTTTAAAAATTTATTTATTATAATTAAAATATTATTATAACTTTTATTATTATATATTAATAAAACTAATAATTTAATAATAAAATTTAATAATATTTTTTTATTTAATTTATTTAATACCGGAAAATTTTTTAATTTTTTATAAAATAAATACTTTTTTATTTTTATTTTTTAATAAATTATATATATATTAATATAATATTTAACATTTTTTTATAAATTATTTTAATAATAACATTTTAATAATTATTAAATTATTTTTATTATTTTTTAATATTTTAACATTAAAACGTTATAATAATTTTAAAACATTTTATTACATAATTTTAAAAATATATAAATTTTATTTTTAAATTTAAATAAACCGGTTTTTAAAAATTATATTAACATTAATAAATTTCAATTATTTTATTAATTTTTTTATTTATTTAAAATTATAAAATTATCATTTCTTTATTTTTTATAAATTTTATTTAATAAAAATATATTTAATTTTTCGTTATTTTTTGAAATTATTAACATAAAACTATATTTAAACGTTTTTTTTATAATTATAACTTTAAAATTATTATTATTATAAAAATTTAAAATATTTTAATTATTTTTAAATTTTATTAAAATTTTTAATAACGTTTTTTATTTTATTTTATATATATTTAATAATAAAATATATATTTTTATAATTACTTTTTACTTAATTATTATAAAATTATTTATTATTATATTAAATATTTTTTAATTATTTTTAAATTTTATTTAAAATTT